GTATCCTGTGTAGTTTATGAAGACAATGCTGCTCGGCCACTGCCTAGGTGCTGCCTCCCCTCGTTCTCATCTTCCTGCATCACTTGGAAGGCACGGGTTTCCTTAAAAGCCCTCATCCTGGCAGCAAAGAATGTAAAAAGAAAATTGTCCTTTCCTACACACATCGGAAATTACATGCATGAAACCACCAGGCAGATATGAAATACACAAGCTAAAACTGTCATCTGGAATTTGGCAGCTTTGCAGAAAGTTCAGCATTATGGTTAAGAACATCGCCACATTATTTGCAAGACAAGGAATTACACGCTCAGCAGATCATTCTTCTGTTGGACGTGGGGACTGGACATTTTCCAGAGTTGCTCCCAAGATGACAGGAGGGTCACTTCCCTCCCGGCCCCAACCTGCCTCTGAAATGGGTTAAAAGGCAAGCAATAGCAGGGAACTATTGCGAGAGATCTTAAGTAATTCTGACTGAATAATTGGCTTAAAATAAGACTTCAGTGTAATATGTTAAGTAATCAGAATGTCCTTTCCAAACAGCTTAGGAAGAGAAGAAAGTAGGCGCAAGAGAAGCAAGATCCTAGTTCCATTAACTTGCCATTTTCTTGGAAAAACTGAGACTGTTTTTGGCTTTGACTCCTGTAGAGTGACATCGGTGGTTTCTGCTTGCTCAGCATCCTTCCAGCCCTCCCTCTGGTATCATCACTCAGATCTTCCTCTGGAGAATGGTCTACTCATCTCTAACTTTCAGGCCTTGTGGTACCGAAGGTGAGGGCCCCACTATGATCTCCCTACTCCCAGGGCATTGGGGTGGACTTCCAGTACCCTTCTGGCCAATCTGTATACTCCATCCCTCTACCCCCAGTTATCAGTTCTAGAACGGGCATGAGATCCAAATGGATCCTGTGAGATTCAGGAATAAGAGTGGAATTACTGGGAAAGAGAAGCTGAGCTGGTAGGCTATACTAGAGCTTTGGAGTGGGGTGGAGGGACAAGGGCACTGGTGAAAACAACTTACCTGAGAAAGAAACCAGTGAACTGAAAGCCAAGTGAATGGAGAGAGAATGAGAGACAAAATCCTGATGACAATGTTTGAGCTCCCAGATCCAGCCATGCCTGATACCAATAATAGATCCCCTGTTTTACCTATGCTGCTTTGAATATGGTTTCGGTCACTTGGAAGCAAAAGTCTTAACTAAATACACTCCTGTTCATCCTTCAAAATCCAGCTTGTCACCTCCTCCGTTTGGCCTTTCCCGAGGATCTCATATTAGGAAATAGCTATTTGCACTCTCCTTGTGCTAGTTGTCTTTAGAGCTACTTCCCTAACTGTACTTTTCATTCTGTATTGAAGTCCAACCTCTCTGCCACAGGTAATGGGGCCCTACATGATCTGCCTGCCACTCCCATCTCAGCTCCTTCTACAGTGGCTCCGTGCTTTTCCTTGAACACACCAAGCCTGTCCCCACCTCAGTCTTAGCATTTGTTGTTCTTTCTTCTGGGAAAGCTCTTCTCCTAGATACTGCAGCCATTGCTCCCCTGCATCACTCAGGGCTCTGCTCAATTGTCTCCTTATTGGAGAGGTTTTCTCCAACAATCTTATCCAAAATAGCACCTCCATCGCTCTTCAACCCTCAGTCTGCTTAATCTTTTTCATGACACTTATCACTGCCTGACTATATAGCACCATATTTATTTCTTTATTTATCATCATCTTCACCTCTAGAATGTATGCAGGGAGGGAATTTTTGTTTTGTTCACAACTGTATTCCTAGCACCTAAGAATTTCTGTGTTCTCAAAATATTGGCTGCTATACATTTTTAAAATAATCTTAAACTTTAAAGGATGAAAAAAAGCAAACCCTAAAATTGAAACCAACATACGCAAGTGAACCTGTATATTAAATTGTAACATAGTCACCCTGGAAAAAAATAGAATTAACTCTTACAAATTTTAAACATAGCACTTTGATTTTAAACCTGTAGTGAAATATAGTCCAAGGATAAAAATAATCATAGGGGCTGGCCCGGTGGCACAGCAGTTAAGTTCGCACGTTGTGCTTCTCTGCGGCCCGGGGTTCACCGGTTCGCATCCCAGGTGCGGACGTGGCATCACTTGGCAAATGCCATGCTGTGGGAGGTGTCCCACATATAAAGTAGAGGAAGATGGGCATGGATATTAGCTCAGGGCCAGTCTTCCTCAGCAAAAAGAGGAGGATTGGCAGTAGTTAGCTCAGGGCTAATCTTCCTCAAAAAAAAAATCATAGCAAAAAATATCGAAAGTGATTTGGAAGTTTCTTGTTGGTAGTGGTGCTTAATGTAGTAATTCTGGAATCATTCTGCTTATATTGTAGGATCGAGCAAAGATGCTCATGTTCCCAACTGATACTGTTAGGAACCCCATTCCTCAATGCAGGAGAATGGACATAAAATTCAGAATGGAGAAAGGAAAAAAGAACCCTGTGATGTTGAATTAGAAGTATGGATATCACTATGAAGTCATTTTGTTTCCTAGCTCTGCTTACAGACACAGTCTAAAAGAAAAGGCATCTCAGTAGCAATGAGCACCCTGAGTGCTCAGGTCTTGGTTTTTAAATACCTTTCCCCATTAAAAGGAACCAGAGTTCCTTGAAGAAATGACTGATTCCAGGGCTAGGGTGGGAAAATACAAGATAATCCAAGAACACATATTTGTGCCAACAAGCAAGGAAATGCTCAAAGATTAATGAGGGTCTGTCAAAAGGACACAGGAGTCAGCTTGCAGGGGCTCCCATTGGCCAAATATGGAACGATATGAGCATCAAAAACAATGAATGCTAACACATCCAACAGAAATGGCAATCCGCAAGTCCACAGCGCTATTTTTTAAAGTAAATAATAGAGAAGAAGAGGAGTGAAAGCCTTTCTCCACAGAAGATACCAGATGCTGTCTCTAGGAATAGAGATCAGAAAAATAAACATTTTACAACCGCCAGTGTAGTAACTGACTCAGACAGGAATCATCAATGGACACTAAAACTACCGAGGGACAGATCTGGGGGGAACAGATATTTACCTGGTCTGAGAATATTTATTAATTTCAAAAGGGAAAAGGCACCTTTCCAATGGTGAGATCTCACAGACAGCACCTCGACCAAGTGATCAAGTTTAGCATCGCCAATAATGGCACAGATATTGTGTGCCTCCTGATGTGACACAATAGAAAGTGCACAGCATCATCTTTGTAGTATTCTCGCCAAAACATTTTACTGAATCTAAGCACTGAGGAAAGAATCAGACAAAGTCAGAAAATGGGACATTCTAAAGGGAACCCAGCCTAGACCCTTGAAAATCATCATCAGGAATGACAACAACAAAAAGGGCATGGGACTGAGACATGACAACCCATTGTGATATGTGAACCTTTACTGAGGTCTGGATTTAAAAAAAAAAGGACATTTTGGGGATAACTGGAGAATACTGAATATTGCCTGAATTAATATTGACATGTGTATGTGTCTGTGTACACACAATGAATAAAGCACAAGTGTCCTAATATATTTCAGTCCTGATGATGTTGGAAGCACACAAGAAAATGTGACTTCAACTCACCTCCCCAGTGGCATAAAAGTCATTCTCTTTATATTCAGGAAACAACTGGAAAAACTGAATTAGTGCACTGCAAAAAGAACAACAATAAAAGTCACACAGAGTCAGAACAGCTTCATGCTGTGCTACCCAATCCACCCCTTTGACAACAGGGTTCACATCTGAGATAGGATACCCTTATGCTTGAAGCTCCAATAGGCATTTTTTTCAGTCTCAAGTGCATAACACTCCATACTCTGTGGATGGTTAGAAAATATTTGTGGGCTTGCTCTGTGATACTAAGAAGTTGGGAGAAGTGGAAACCAACACTCTGGGCAGGTTTCTTAATCCCTGGTTACCAACTCGGATAATCCAGCTGCTGAGGGAACCCTTCAGCAAAGTGACACAATGCTTTCACCTATTCTTTGGCAATTCTTGGAGGCAGTTCTGCAAACCTTATGACCCCATTAAGCGGGGTTTGTGGTGAGGTAATGGGAACCTCAGTTGCTTACCAACCTCTCCCTGTGGGGAACCCTGAACATTTCCAACGGTGCTCCCAGAATTTTAGCATTTTAATAACCGAAGAACAGAAAAGCTATGAAATGACTACGGTCTAAAGGAAAACCAACAAATGGCTACAGATATGGAAGTAAATGTATGGTGGCCTCTAGGCTCAAAAAGTCACATCGACTACAGAATGCCAACAGCCATTTCAGTGAGCTATGCTGAAACAGATTTAAAAAGACTCAAGAAATTACTTCATGGTAAGCAAGAAACGGGTGAAGTATTGAATGATTCTCTCTTTGACCAAAATCTTTCAAAAAAGGAAGCAAAAACTCATGAAACTCAGAAGCTCTGTGAGTCTTCTGACCCAGATTGCAATGCCTGAGAAGTTAGGCAGGGTTTTTGTTCCAGCTTCCTGCTGAGGGACTAAAAGCCATGAACCATCCCATCCAGGAGGATGAAAGGCAAGAGGCCCTGCAAAACCTGGAGAAGAAAGTTCGAGGGTTACAGTGAGGCAAAACTGGGTCATTGCAATCACCATGATCCTGGCTATACTTAATTTTCAAAGGCGCCATAAAAATCTGCCATTAAATACTACTGTAGAGTTTCAGTGTATTTCTCTGTTTATTATTTATAGTAACCAAAATCTTTGTAGCAACTAAATCTGGGAAGCTGCATTATATGGCTTCCATGTTTGTGCTGGCAATAAGTTGGCTTTAGAGCAGAGATAAAAATAGGAGTTCGTTCTCCACCCTTCCTTCTCCAACCTATGGGCTAAAAACTACTTCTCTTTGCCTCTTCCTGTTAGTTGGAATGGCAATAGACAACTTAATATAGTAAATCTCAATTTTAAGCCTTACGTTTTAGCTTGAAGCTTATTTCCTTGGAGAATTTGTTGGGGTTGCCAGATTTAGCAAATAAAACTACACGACGTCCAATTAAATTTGAATTTCATATCAACAATAATGTTCTAGTATAAGTATGTCCCAAATATTGCATGGGACATACTTAGATTAAAAAATTATTCATTGTTGATTTGAAATTGAAATTTAACCGGGCATTCTGTATTGTATCTGGCAATCTCAGCCGAAGGACGTAATCTCCCAGGTTGCTTCTAGCTTGAAAATGCCAGGATTCTCTAGCTGAAGGTTCCAAGGCAAGGTCCCACTTGAGGAAGTGACAGTTTTAAGTTCATGGTAAGATCAGAACAAAAATTCGGCTAATAACAGAAAGGCTTTGGTAGGTCTTTCTTAAATGGGAGTGAAGAATGAAAAAGGGGAATTTAGTAAGTTAGATTTACATGTGCCATTTGCTCGTTTAACTGTGTTTTAGCCAAGGACTATTCTTAATACATGGTAAGGGTTTGCTTGAAAATATAATCTAGAATCATGCCTGTGTGAACTTTCAAATTTTAGAAGCAGAATTGGTAGAATATATAATATATAATACACACAATGCGAGTGTGTGTATGTGTGTGCGTGTACTCCATGCATTTATTCAGGTACAGGAGGTACATGGCACAGGAAGCATGCCTCTTCCAGGTGATTCCATTTGGCAACCTAGCTGGCATTGTGCCAAGGTCTTGTCCAATAAGTAGACTTTTTGTCAAAAGCTACCTGGTGGCAAAAAAGTATATTAAAGGAAAACAGGAATAAACAGAGCTTGAAAGGGAGAACGAGTAGGAAAAAATTATTCCTCAGATAATTTTTTTAAAAAAGAAGTTAGTGGGTTCGGGGTAGAGAAGGTGGGTGGAAATGATAATGTACTATATAGACCAGAAGAGAGCGCTGGGTTTTGATCAGTTCTAATGGAATCAGAAGCATAATAAATACAAGACATTCAGGAGAATCAAGGTTCAAATAATCTAAGCAAAAGCTCCAAAACAGCAAAAGCCAAAGAAGGTGCAGCTTTAGCCACTGAGAGTTTGACTGAAAAAAGCAGAGCAATGAGAATCTCGGTGGTTTTGTTCTGCTGCTGCAAACAGAAACCATCCTCTGCGTTGATTCTACATCTAGTGTGGCCGGGCCATGATCTTCTCTGCCCCACACAGAACACACAAATGTTCTCATTTAATTTATGAAACCTGTTTCATAGTCACTTGGTTATGAAGCTTTGTGTAGCAATAGATACTGTTTCCCATGCAAACCACATGGCTGCTGAGAAAATAACCAGGCTAGCCACTAGACTGTCAGCAGGAGGAGGGCAGGGGCGGTGGGCCCTGTTTACCACTGTACCGCCAGCACCAGGAGCCAGGTGTCTGGCACATGGGAGACAACCAATAAATAGTGGTAGAAGGAGAGTGGTACCAGCTGGGATACCCTAAATGAAAGTTAATAAATTTATTATTCTTTAGTAAATTGTTTTTTTTCCTAAACCAGAAAGGCATTGTAGCTCATTCCAAATAGGGAAATTTAAAAAAAAAGAATATTTAAACACTTTGTTAGTGAAAAAGTTTTATTTCCAAACACAAAAGCAGCCTAACTGTGAATGTCAAATGCCTCTTTAGGAGTCTTCTCCCTACAGGCAGGCACTATTAATAGGGAAAAGGAATGGGATTTCCAGAAAAGAAGAAAGATGGTTTTCAAAGGGAGAAGAAGAAAGGTCTCTCTTTAAACCTCTAGTAGCCGGCTTCCAGGTTTCAAAGGGAGCTTCTTACTCCCAACACCCATCTGGAGAGCTGGAGAGAAGAACGTAGTCACAAAGGGAAACAAACAGGGTAAACTCTAAAGGAAACAGCTGAAATCAGTTTTCTGCACTGCCCTTGATTAGCTATTTTCCAGTTCTAAGAGCCTGAAGCAAAAAGAGCTAAAACAGCTATAAACAATGGATGCTTTGAAATAGGTTCTCTTTACATGTCATGCAAGAGGAGATGTACCACATGTCAGCAGTAAATATCCACTCAGAGGGTCAACTGGAAGCTGTGGCCATCTTTGGGGGAGGGGAAGGACAGACAGGAAAGGAATGGCAGGGTTGCAATGCTCTGGCTTAGAGGGGATTGATGGAGTTTTTTTTAAAACAGAACCTCCGCCCTCAGGGTGTTTGCTGGTTAAACAACTGAGCTTGTTTGGATTTAAGCCAAAGGGGCAGGGGGGGAGAAAAGTAGGTTTCCGATCTGAAAAATGAGAGCACGCTGTCAGCGCTAAATGAGAAAGACATGGCACTCCAGTAAACTTGTAAGGACAGTCATCTCGGCTATGTCTGTGGAGGGAAAGAGGAGGGGCGCAAGTGAGGGAGAGGCAGGGGGACCCCTGTGAGGATCTGGCTAGCCTGCTCCCAGGACACATTGCACCTGGAAGCAGAAGTGTGGGGTCCTAAACATCCTCCCCGGAAACTGCATGGAAGTGTTAAAATAATAGGACATGTGGTAAATGAAAGTGTAGAAGACAACAGCCATATTGTTTTCTGGATCAGCAGAGGAGATAGAAATGTCTCTTGGAGAAAGGCCGGAAGTTCCTCTTTCCTCTCTCTCCCAGCCATCTGCCTTGCGCAGAAAGAAGAATAAAACGGAAAGCTTTTGTCAGAGATCAAAAAACTCTGACTCCTATTAGATTCCCTTTCACTTTGGGGATGGGTTGGGTTTGCTCACTAAGTAATTAAGAGAATGAGTGTTGATGGAAGTGGAGGGTAGGGGGGCTAATTAACTCTTTCTGGCCACTAGGGTTCTTTCAGTAAATTATTATAATGCATAAAGTGGTGCCCTGGCGATCTGAAAGAATTCAGGACTTGGTCTCTAGCAATAATTTACAGACTGGAAAGTGTGACGAAATAAGAAGGTCACTTACTTTAAAAAAAATATATACTAAAAATTGCTATAACAAATGTGAGTAAGAAAAAGAAAGGAAGAAAGCATATGTTCATATACTGTTTCATCAGGCTTAGAATTTTACATTTTCCTTTTTTTTTTTCAACTGAAAGAGTAACTTTGTAAAATGAAGGGAAAAGGAAAGAGACTAGCTAACAAGCTGAGTTTGCAGCCTGGAAAAGTCATGGAGGAGGAGCAAGAGAGAGAAAAATTGCATCTGAAGGCCACAGAAAGAGGAATTCTGGGAAAGAAAACAAACAAACATCTGAGAAGATGTTGCTTCCTGGCAGATGCAAAGTTAAATATAAGGTCAGAAAGCCGGCAGAGACTTCTCAGACATCTGGCTGAAAAGTTTGAAAATAATCTTTGGTTGAATAATTTCATTGTTTCTATTGTTTCCAAAGGACATTTTTACAAAATTATAATTATGCCTCAAGATTTCAGCTCTCCTTGTTACTTTCTCTGCTGGCCACCTTCACAATTATCAGTGACAATGTAACAAAGTGGAAAATTGTGTGTGTGTGTGTGTGTGAGTGTGTGTACTCCTCATGTAGAAGTCATCTTAAAACGTCTTTAGGAACTAGATGATGAGGACCAATTAATAATACTTCTACTATGGGAAGAATTTTCCTATTGAGATAGAAAAATGTTTGGTCTGAAGAAGGCCAAGAGAGAGCCAGGGCCTTTTACCTGTATAAATCTCGAGCCACATCATCCTCATTGACTGCATATCCCTGGGGATCATCAGTAAAACTGAAGCCGGTGCCCACCTGAAGGAGAAATAAATAAGCAGGCCTGAACACAGAGAAACACATGCCTCGGAGCCCTGCAGAGAAATCCCACACTGGAAGGAAACTGACCTTATTCCAAAAGCCAAGCCTCTGACCTCGGACTTCTGCCATCATCCCACGTGCGGTTAGCCACCCTCACAGGAGGATGCTGCATTCCACCTATTTTCCCCTCCCCTCATCAAAGCCCAAATAAATTATCAGCACAAAGCTCTGTCCTCGGGTCAGTGGCCGAGCTGTCTTGATTCCGCAGTGGGGACCCTGCCAGATGCTGATTTAAGGAGAGGAATTCACCTTTCCTGGCCCCTGCTACAGTATCAAAAGACTCAAAGTTGTCTTGTCTCTGAAACCCGGAGGGTGCATTGCTCTGTTCTGCCAAGAAGGAACTCTCTAGGCTGCAGATAAAAGATAGTCGTGTGCATGTGTGGTTTTTTTCATTTATGTATTGGTGAGAAATATGGCCACTAAGCCCTTTCACCTTCAGTAGATAAGGGGTTTTAAAATAAAGATTAGTTTTAAACTAATATGTCCTTATATCTAGAAGTTCACAGACAACTCTGCTGTAAATCAAAAGAAGCAGCTACTTCTTATTTTGAGCCAATAAGTTGTATAAGGAACACACCCCCTACCAGGTATAAATATTTTTGTTTTTGTTTTGTTTTCCCCAAACACCCAAGGGAACAGGACATTTAATTCAACTTTTATTTAAAAATACTATTACAAACTAGGAAAGAGGATGGTGACAAAACACAGTGGGGAGAGTAGACTTTTTTTCTCCCTATGTATCTTTTTTCTCTTTGAACCATCTGGGAAGTGAGAGAAGTTGGAGAAATTAGGGGATAAAGACACTCTCGATCTGCAGGAGCTGACCCTAAAGTTAGGCTCCCATTTTGCAGTTTACTGGACTCAATTTCAGAAGAACTTCTCAAGGAGAATTCCACTTTTTGTTCTGAGATGAGGCATTCTGTTCACCGTGATAAGTGAAAGAGACCAGTTTTGACTTTTTATATCTAGAACTCTATTTGAAAGATTAGGAGTTCCGATACTATATAATAACCCACGATACGGGGAAACCCCTATCAGCAGTGGAAAGAAACTAATCTCTTATCCTGGATGGTGGAATTGGTATAATTCAGTGAACAGGACATTTCATAAGATTAGAAATGAGAGAAGGAGCAAAAGCAGCAATTAATTCCCAAGCTCAGATATGATAATACATGTTAGAAAAACTAATCTCAAATGTTTTTTAATAGATTAAATTCTGTTTCAAAAAGAAAAAAACTAAATCTCTATTTCCTTTTTTTTTCTCTATTTCTTAAATGTACTTAATAAACAGAAAAAGACAAGAGAGGCCAACAGTGACAATTCATAGGGCCATCGGGTACTCACTGGGTTATCAACGTAAAGCATGGAAAATGTGGAGGTCCATGGGAAGTCTCTGGAACGCACTGGGGAAACAGAGGAGAGGTTTGA